GTTGCTTCATTTACTTGGTTTTTTCCTTCGCGAAAACAATAACCAGCCTTTTAACCTGATTTTCTCCACGTACGTGTACAGCACGATACAAAACCGCATTATCGTGGTTGATATAGCACGCGCCCAATACAATAGGCCGTGAAAAGTGCCAATTTTCATCGAACTTATGGTGGATGAAATGCGAAATGGGATCGAAGGTTTAATTGCAGCTTCTGTTTGCTTTAGGGCGGGCAACGGGAATTGGGCCAACTGTGTGACCGTTTGATTATTCGCCAGTATATACTTCTGATATCTCTTTCCGTGGAAAAAAAACACGAAAGTTCTGTTGTTTCATCGATGAAAAAAAAAAAAAAAAACAATTAAATGCTACATAAAATTTGGCGACGAGTCTTTTTGCGAAATTAAACAAAATATTTCTATATTCGAATTTAAAAAAAGAATTTTTTTAAAAATAGTTTCTCAAAATACTTCACATATATCCAACAAAAAATCCTATCCTATCGATCTTTTAAAATTAATCAATACAATTTCCATTCTTAGATATTATAATCACATCCTTATTTAATCGTCATATTCCTTTACTGGTCGTGGAGATTAACGTCAAAAATGTTCACGAAACGTTTCGATCGTTTATTTGTTTTCCACCAAGAGACACAACTCTATAAAGATCCCTTCGACAATTATTCATTCACTTCGAAATATTCACGCGTACAACGAGTATATTCCACCACTCGCTCTTACTCTCTCCTATCTTTTCGAGCGGATTGTTACACCACGGTATAAGTCGTTCGTTATCACGAGCTTGCCTAAATATCTTCTTTAATCCGCGGGGCTTCATCGTTTCACGGATTAAGTGGAAATTCGTTGTTTCGTATGCAAGCTTTGCAAGCGTTACGGAAGTTGATGCATATAAGTAACCGTATCGTGAAAAGCCAGTTACCGTGTTAGGCGGCCGTGTATGCAACCATGTATGCGCGATATTATTGCACGCGACAATAGGGTGGTATTAGTGAGCGCGCCAGTTCTGCTTGCCTATTCACAAAAGAAATTACACGAGACTCTTTTCTCTCATCGTCATCTCGTTGTATTTCCTCCCCCAATTTTATACATATTTTCTTCCGCGTTTTTATGTAAATACGTTGGCTTTTTAATATTGCATATTCCCCTCCACGCGAATTTTTTCTTCTATGTTTTCTTTGAAATTTACATTGAATTTTATCGAGTTATTATTCGATCGTTTTTTTTTTTTAAATATATTCGAATCTGCGATTAGATCTTGCAATTTTTGCTCTTTAAAGGAACTGTCACTTTCCATTCGTAATTAGATTCGAATGTGATTCTACTACGAGATACAATTGCGTAAATCCATTCCAAAGAGCTTACACCACGAGTAATCATCATAGTATCAATTATTTTCTTCTAGAAAACTACTACTGCAAAAATTGTTGCAAATATCGTCGTAACTTTTCAAACGCTTCAAAACTTCTTCTCGAAAAATAACCGCGAAAAGTTGGAGAACGGACACGAGTTCGAATCTAACTCAAACGATCCTCCCCTCGAAGGGGAGAGGCGAGAAACGAAGACACGGAACGTTTGTTCCCGATATGCAAATTTCGATATCGTCCACCGCGGTGGCAAAAAAAGGTTCCCCCCCAAAAAAAGGCGGGGTTTGCGGGACCGCGAACGATCGATATTCGAGTTAATCGGCGCGATGTCGAGAATTTCAAATTTTTTTTCCCCCTACTAGCGGTTAAGTATCATCGTGGATCGATCGAAAGTTTTTTCCCCCGCACTCGTCGAAGATGGAAACAAAAGCCATTTTATGGAAATTGCTCAGCCACCGAACAATGCCCGACTTCGACGAGGAACTTGCTCTTCTCTCCCTCTTTTCTTTTTCGCGATCTCGACAGGTGAATGGGTCTCGGCCGCTTTTCTGCCGATCGAACGAGGAGCAGAATTATGGATGAAAAGTTTTTCGCGCTATTTGCGAGCGCGGCGATGATGATGGAAATGCAACGGTGTCCCTCCATTTATGAGCTACGATGAGTGGAGGAGAAGGTTTACGTACGAGGGATATTTTGTGATGTTATTTTTCTTCACCGATTCTTCGTGAAAAAATACGAGTGGAGAAAGGAGTATTTAGTAGTTATTTTATGAATAATGGATTTTGGAAGCAAAGCGTGGAAGAAATTTTGAGGAAGTTTTTTTTTTTTAGATCGAGGTCTTTTGGAAATAACGATCTCGAAATCGTGCGCGTGATTTAAAGTTCTGATTTCGTGGAGAAGAATTAAAATAGTTTCATTACACGCGTTTGCCTTTATATTTTATTCCCCGTGTCGAGCAATCGGAACTGAACTGGATGGAGAAGATTTGAAGTTAAACTGTTATATAACTGCTCGTAACTCCTCGCCATCTCGTTTTCGAATCGAACTATTCCAACGTATTTCCCATTTGACTGTATAATAAAATTTCAATCGGCATTGCAATGAATTCGTGGAATCAAAATCAATTTTTAACGATAATTTTTATAAAACTTTACTAAAAGTGTTGTACTTTTGAAAAGAAAAAGAAAATAGGTACGTGGATTACCCGCAGAATTGTATTATTTCACTTTAATTAAAAAAAAAAAGAAAAAAATTAAAAGTCAGTCGTGAAACTCAAGTTGTTTTCAACGAACGAAGAAACAAGAAAAAAGAAAAGAAAATAAAAAAGGGAGGAACGGAAAACAAGGAAAATTCCTCCGGGTGAATATATTTCTAGGGAGCAGAAAGAAAAATCGATAAAGAGAAGAACGATCTATCTATACGCATATTTAATTACTCGGAATCAAATTGCATCTCGTTTCAATTATTTCGCACGGACTCGAACTCATAAAATCCAAACTGATTAATCGAACGGATAAAAGTATACGATCAACGGAGTCGAAGATTAAAAGGAGAGAAAGGAAGGACAAAGGAAAGAGAAGAAACAAATAATGTATTAGATTCGCTCGTTAACTTAAATACTTAAGTGGAGTACGAATCTTTTTTAAGAAGAAAAAAATATTGGAACAAGATTAGATCGATATCACGCACATATTAAAGTATATTGTTGAGATTGAAATTTTTATAAATACAAACTGAGAAATTGGAATTTAAATAGAAGATGTATTCTTTCGTTTCGTGTAACGAATCGAGCAAAAGAATTTTTCTCACGGTGTGTCCTCTTCGATGACAAATTTTTTAAGGAAGGAATTGAAAGAGAATCTTGATAAAAATTTTAAAAGATTTTAAATTTTATACAATAACTTTCGAATTAATATTATATACTTTTCTTTTGTTCTTTAACGAATATTGACGGATTGTTGAAATTTTGTTGAAAATAAAATATTGTTTCTCATTATAGAGGGAATCACCTCTACTTTATTTTCCCTTGCATCCTGCATTATTAATCGCGTCATTTTTCCACTCTTTAACCAAAATACCATCGACATCGAAACGATATCTCGGCCTCTTCTTTTAAGCAATTTGTTCTCTTAACGTTTTAACGAAGAAGAGGGTTTTTGTCCCCTCCTTTATGAGAAACTCGCGAGAACTTTACGTTTACAAAGATATTTATGGATCTGTAAGAGACTAAAGACTTACATTAGTTGGGGTTGATGTCCTATAGTCTACTCGATAAAAGTTTTATTCCCACTGTATACTTCTCTTTCCATTTAACTTTCGCTCTATGAGACAGTTTTCACTGACAAATCAAGAGAAGAAAAAAAGTTTGGAAATATTTCTCAATTTTTATTTTTCTTTCGTCTCGAAAATTTGAAATTTTTATATCTGGAATTCCCTCCATTTTTAACATTTTTAAAATTAAACGTTAAAGATTTTTTAAACACTTTTCTTATAAAATTCCTCTCAAATTACTCTAACCCCACTATTCTTTCACTATTGTTCCACTAAACTTGAATCACTGCCATTCCCTGCTCCAACATTGTCCAAAATTCGATGGTTATTTTTGGTTCAATTTGATCGTGATACGATCGCACGATGAATTTCTTTATTTACAGCCGTGTTAGCCGCATATTTCAAACATTATCTCGACCTCGTTCGCCGTTCGAGCGTGCGGCCAGATATGGATATACGAGCGAAAAGATTCGCCCGCGAAGATCGAAAATTTCCGTGGAACGATCGAACCGTGGAAAAATTGACTGATTTCAGAAGCGAGTCAATTCTGGCGAATGTTAAAAACCATGAAAATTCTTTTTTTTTTTATCGTTCCATTACAACGAATGTTTATTTTTTCAAGATGCGATAAAAACGAAAAAATAAGCTGGTATTTTTGATGATTATTTTCGTTCAATATTTCTGAGTGATCAGAAATATTTTGTTTCGAACGAATATAAAAAAAATTGGGTGTTTCTATTTATCTCTGCTGTTAGAAAGGATCTATCTTCTTATTAACAAAACTACCTATTCTGGAAACGATATTTTTATTTCTTTTAAAATAATTTAATAATATCAAACTTTCCATTTTTTCTCATTGTTCAAAAATTATCGATCGCTCTATTCATCCATTCTGTTCCATTGTATATCCAACGATTCTTCGTTCTTCCAAAATTATCCAATATTTATTTTCCATTCTACACCCCCCTCAAGAAGTAGTAGTATCACTATTGGAAAGTATCGAGTTCTATGGAGAAAGATTCATAGAAAAATTCAAAATCTCGATTCCTTGGATAATCATCGAAAATTGCCCAACCAAAGTAAATTTATCTTAACGTTCAATCTTCCTTCGATGCACCTCCCAAAATTACTCCGTCATTCGAGAAGACGAAGAAAAACTTCTCTTCAATAATCATTCTCTCGCCCTTTCATCCTTTCAGCCGGATAAATTACTGATTGGGTTTCTGCATTATCGATCGAAAGGGGTGGCGGTGATGCATCAATTCGTTACGAAACCTACGGTGAACGAAAATGGTGGATGGGTGGACTTAAAAGTTTTTTCATCCTTCACTGGCTCGATGGTTTGAAGAGGAGGAGGGTCGTCTCGTTAAAAAAAAAAAAAAAATAAATAAAAAAATAAAAGCGTGCACTTTTGAGGGGAGGGAGGGGAACTGGACACTTTGGAGACGAAAAAGCACCATAGACGATACTTTGGACGTCGGATTAGAGGTGTCTGACCTGCCACAGGGACTTACCACTTCCGTGGAGCAGTGGATTATCCGTCTTGCGAAAGTAACTCGGCGGAAGCCTCGACTGATCGCCGTGGAACGTTTCCCCTAGGATTTGGAAAACCTCTCGGGATGGTTCTTTGACGTTATTGGCTTTCGTTAATAATGGACAATTTGATTTTATTTTCTTTCGTTAGAAGGTGTGGCTCTAGTTACTTTTCTAGTTACTTTTAAATTTGCCACCGAAACGAATTATTTATTTCGTTCGATTTGATTGAGATTTAAGGTTGGGTTAAATCGGCGAACCAAATTGTTTTTATCGATTTATTTATTTATAGTTGAACGTGTTGTTGAGAAGATGCGTTGTAGGAAATTTCTTTTTATTATATATAGTTTTTTTTTTATCTTTTGGGTAATAAGGAAGAATTTTTTTTTCCGCTTCTCTTTTATCTAAGAGAATTTTGTTATCGGAGCAAGTTTCGATGTAGGACAATAAAAAAAATTGCTTTTTTTCGGTCGTCCCCTTTGGGGGATGATAAACTTCCCGTTACATTTCGAAAACGAGGAAGAATTTTCAATTTGAATTTTGAAAATGTAATTTACGGGAGCGAGAGAGAGAGAGAGAGAGAGGAGTGTAG